CAAACGGTCAAACGGGTCAAGCGAGGTACAAGTAAGTTAGAGCTAACAAGCTGTAAGTGAGTGAGGGACCTTGTATCTTGGATGGATGAATGGAGACGTCCCCATCACGACAGCTCAGCTTGTGTCACGCACGCTCTCTTCTTCCCATGGGCCCTCCCTCTCCCACGGTAATGCAATGCACTCTCAGTGCATTTACCAATCTATCTGAGGTAGGTATAGTACCTTTTAAATAACCCAGCAAGGTAGCACTCGCCTTATCTTACCTCACTCCTCCTCCTCTTCCTCCTCCTCTTCTGTCTCTCCTCTTCTTCCTCCTCCTCTTACATTATTTCCCTCGCTATTATAACAACATCAAACTTCCCTTCTTCTCTGCAAATACTTAAACTCACCCCTTCCCCATAGATCTCGGCATTCTCCTTGACAACAATCCTCTTTAATCATCATCTCTCTTCTCTTGTCTTCTCTTCCTTCTCTTGTTGGACCCCATCTCTGTATCTAAAGACTCATCTACATTTACATGCCTCTTTGTTGTCTTTTCTACCGTCTGACCCGTGCTGTCTCGACCCTCTTCACTTTGACTCTCTCATAAGCTACTCGATCAATCAATCTCACTTCCACTCATCACCCAATCTCACAATGTGCTACGCCAACCTCGGAACTCTCATCTGTCAAGCCTGCGGCCGCCGCGTCGGCGAACAACCCGTAGGAACATCACCTTGCCTCACCGTCTGCGGAAAATACGTCTCACGCGTAACTGGCACCGTAGTCAGCGGCGAGTGCGGTGTATGCAGCGATGCAAAAGAGCAGAGGAGCCAAATGACCGTGAGGCTAAACCGGGCTTTCAGCAAGTGACGCACCAGAGCTCCAATGCGGCATTATTCAACCCTCCAAGTCATCTGTAAGGTACCCTACTAGCTGTAAGATTGGATGGTAAGCTCTGCTTACACTGTCTGGACCAGAAGACAACCCTGTACTGACATACTTATCAAGAGGCATTCAGGCTCTATCAAGGGCAAAATGGCATTGTCTGCAACTCGGCTCTTACGGGATCGTTATACCCGTACGAAAGCCGGAACTCATACAATGAGGCCATACCGCCCACTAGTTTATTTCTGTTCGATAACATTTCCACGCTTTACGACTCATGGTCTCACGATTTACGGCGGCGTTCACGGCATGATGCTCAGTTTCAGTTTGGTACACGAATTAGATGGAGCATAAGAGTTACTTTCTGCGTTTGACGACAGCAGCAGCCTTTCATTTCTGAGCTGTCCTTGTATTCTCACTACTACTATACCCATGATTACTACTACTACTACTACTACTACTACTACTACTACTACTACTATTCAATAAATTTGCGATAACGACATGCTGCTGCATGTGCCACGCGACAGGGCGTCGTGTGGAGTTATCGTTGTCATGAGACCTTATGTAAACTGACGGTGTACACGAACGAACTAATGCGACCAACACGGTAGTGCAGGCTACACATGTAACTGCATTACCAAGGTTTCAAATCGTACTAACTTAACTATGCCTGATCAAGGGATTGTATGTACTCACCCCTTGAGAAGCATGAAAACATGGGACCTTGATATGAGGGATCCAAATAAACTCCGCAAAAGATGACCTAAAGCCATACGAAGTCACCAAAACTTAGCAAAGGTATCCTAAACTTATGCTAAATCACCTAAGTCTTTTTGTCATTTAGAATCAAGGTCCTGAATTTCCTTTCCCCCCCTAGCTACCAGATTAAGATTGAATAGTATTTGTGCTTATGCTTCTTGATATAATTCTAGACACCCGGCCTCAAGGAGCAAGAAAACATTAAACCTTAATATAAGGTATCCAAATAAACCTAGCAAAGAGTCCCCTAAGCTTAGGCTACATTCACCTAAATATTTTCATCGCTTCGGGTCAAGGTCCTAAGTTTTCTTACCTCCTAGCCGGATCTGTGACACTCGGTACCAAACTATCTCAAATAAATGTTGCTTATTATTCTATATGGCTCAAGTGTTTGAATTTTCTTCTAAATGCTGACTATTAGCAGGTTGCCTCGTCAGATCTGGTCCATGTCGACCGATCACAGGCCAACAAGCCCTCTTACAAAAGCCGCCGCAGGCGGTATTGAAGTAAACAAAACAGTGATAGTCCCAAAAAGACTCATCGACAAGCTCGACAAGGCTGCAGCTCGAGGGTCCGTCCGCAACAAGACTGAAGTCGCGATGGCGCTCGAGTTAACACCTAGTGTCACTCCGCGGGTCACGTAGTCGTCCTCGGGGACTCGCAGCCAGTGCAATATGCGCGCCCCGAGCACAGCGCCTAAAATGCCACTGATGATGGCCAATGCAGCAGCAGTGTTAACATCTCCTCCTAGGTTCACAGTCGCGGGGACAGCGAGCGCCAGCGTCAAGCTGCGCGATGCAAAAGCGAGGCTGCGGGCTGCCGAGATGCCGCAGGCGTAGCACAAGGGCGGGTATGCGAGCAGCGAACCAACACTGATTGCAACGTTGGGTATGACGATGGAGATGAAATGAGTGCGAAGCTCTCGTCGGTACTGAAACATGGGCAAGGCGAGGGCTACGATGCTGGCGTCGAGAAGGGTGCCGAAGACGTCACCGGCGCCGGGGAGAAGATCTTGCTTCGACGTTGCGTTGCGCCATAACTGTATATACTTTGCGCCCGTGCGGTAGGCGTGAAGTGTTGTGGTCAAGCTATCACCGCGAATTGCAGCAAGTGCCCATATGACAAGGACTGTTGCAAGAGACGACACCAAGACTGGATGAAGATATTCCTTCCATTTGGGTGCAACTGACAATGCCCCGAACCAGGCGAGGACATTCACGGCAAGGTGAATTGGCATAGCATAACCGGTCGAGTAATAGAGAGGAATGCCAATAAAGGCAAACAGTCCTACGAAGATCGCCACATCGAGATTTGCAGAGATACGGGCCGCCCACAACTCAGCCTTTGGCGGTGGCAGAGGAATTTGTGTGAGGATGGTCGACGGATTGAGAGCTTCAACGGCATTCACTGGGGCTTGACCATTCGCATAGTGATGTTCTTGAAGCCGTAATTGCGGTGGAGTCTGTGGTCGTGAAGGCGCCGCTGACGTTGGCTCCGAGTTCGGCGCGGATACAGACATGAGCGGTATTTGAGAGCCAGCTCGAGATACGCTCGTGCGACGTGATATACCGGGAGAATTGACATCTCCCGTTGAGAGATCTGGTGTTTGACGACCGAGTTCTTCAGCACGTTGGGACCTTGAACGCCTCGAGACACCAAGAGCAAGTTGGAGGCTTCGAGTGATCCAAGCTGCCATAGCCATCATGATAAAGAAGCCAATGACTAGAATTGTTAAAGAAAGTTTTATATGTGTTCTCGAATGGTGACATACCAAAGATGGCAATAATGATCATGACTTCAACGATGCCAATAGGTGGACTGAGAGGCAACAGAACGAAAGACGGCGTGAAGAAGATGCCCATCCATCGAAGTGACCAGCCAGCCTATAAAGGTCAGACATTATGTTTAATCTTTATTGAGATAGTAGCGTTGACTTACAGGCACGTCAATGATATTAACCAGCTTTCTTGTCTTGTGAGTACCCAATAATGACTCACTTGCGATAAGAGCAAAGAAGAGCAACATCATGCAGGTAACAGAAGCAGGAAACGAAACATTGAATTTGTAGAATATTGAATCAACTCCAAAGTTAACAGCGAGTATTATTGTAATGCCGAGTGGCACATAGAACCAAGCACGGACGAGCTTGGAGCTGTTCTTGTGAGCAGCCTGTATCGTGTTAGCCAAGAGTTCTTCTGATGAGCGATGGACTCACCAATTTGATGGCCTGCATCAATTGCAGAAAGTCACTGGTATCTGCAGCCATTCTGCTCTCAGTACTTTGATAAGGGTCATGATATTGTATCGAGGGAGCGATTGAAGTTAGTTGACCAAGCACCGAATGCCGGAGGACCCTGGTCATGTGCGTTAGCCCGGGCGATCCATCCATTGTATAATAAGCTAAAGATAAGAAAACATCAACTGTTTTCAGTCAAAAGAGATTTATTATATAGAGGCAAAATGAATTCTCTTTTTATTTACTGCCTTGTGTCGTATGCATCAGCCCGATTAGCCGAGAAGTCATGATAAAATGCAAGTGACGGACTTCAACTCCCGTGTCATGGGGCTCATGGAAAGGAACTGACGATGCACTTCCTCGGGAGATAAAGCGCCGAGAAGCAGGAACGGCTTTCAGATCGAGGCTCTAGAAGCACAAGATTACGGCTCCTCACTTTTTAGCTGCGGAAATGTCTTTGCGGATGTGATATTGGATCCCTACATCTCCCTGATATCACGATATACCGACCTTATTCATCACCCCATCATCCCATCATATCTCCCCCCGCTGGCCTTTTGTGAATTAGGTGATGTGATGCTCAAGTCGGTCCGACGTTGTCAGAGATGGATTCCTCTCTGCCTGGAGAGATAATCCAGCCAACAAAGGAAGACACAGGCATCGCGTGTGGCCATCTTAAACCTGGGTTCGGAGCGAGCCGAGCACGGAATCACAATCACGCGTCGAGGCATGAAAATACCACGAAAATACTTCAGCGAAAGGTCGAATGCGGATCCGAAGATATAGACGTTGCATTGCATGGGCCGTCGTTCAACTTGATGAGCCAGGCACAGGCGATGCATTCTTGTCCGGAACTGGGATGCCTAGACGATCATCCATGGGTAATGAACGATTCGCTGCTATCCGGTGTGATGCTTGATTAACACAATATAATACAGCGTTCTGCGCCAGGCTCAAGAAGTTCTCGAAATAGCCCTTACCAACACAGTCCACTATCCCAACCAGCAACGCCAACAGGTCTACTGCACCGTCTTGAGAATCGATTTCGACGAGCACAACCCTAGGAATCTCCGTTTGGATCGAGTCGATCAATATCATCAACTTCATTAGTTGAATCAGCAGACGGTTCAACATATCAAGCTGGTAGAGAACGCCGACGAAGGGCACGCGACTCTGAGGTCAATCGTGGTGTCTCATCAGCCGAAGATTCGGTGCCGGTCATCTCGGCTCCGGTGGCGGAGGGCGAAGAAGGGACTCGCCAGTTGGCGGTAGCGGGGATAGCCTTGGGAACATTAGATCTCGACCGGTTGAGTCTCATGGCGAGGAACGGAGAGGCCATAGTAAAGACTGAAGAGGCATAATGTCAATGTCACTGTAATATTGAGAAACGAGGCGTCAGGGGAGATTTCCTATCCGAGGCAGCTGGTCTGCAACTCTTGTCGATCATTGGATGTGAGCATGGATTATTGAATCATTGGGTACGTAGTAAGCTTTGGCTGTGCTTGACTTGATCGGTATTCAATCAAAAGACACCGATTCATCTATCGGCAAGATCATCTTGGACCCGAAACAACCCAAATTGGGATAATGATTCTCATGTTTCAAGTATCACCTACTCCAATTGGCTATAGTTTTCGCTGTCTGCCTCGGTTCCGGGGTCTAAAAGCTGGGGTTTTAGTGACAATCACGGCTCCGGCTCGCGTCGGATGACTTCATCTGGTGGGCTTCAATTGCCGGCGCCCTTTTGCCTGTCACCTCAAGCCTGCGATGCTGTATCTTTAACTACTCGGCTTCGCCTCGATATCTTGATCTGATCCATACCACATCTCCCCATCCAAATCGCCTTTCTCACCATGTTTCGCCCTATCCTCAGACAATGCGCTCGAAGAGCTGCTGCTATTCCTCTGCGACCATGCGCCACAAGGACCTTTGCCTCGGCATCTGGACCTACCTTCAACTGGGAGGATCCTTTGGCCTCGAATAACCTCCTGACTGAAGAGGAGCGTGCAATTGGCGAGACTGCAGAGAGATACTGCCAAGAGCAATTGCTACCCCGCGTTCTACGTAAGTTGTCTCAAACTCGGTATCCAGAAACGCCACACTGAATTTCATGTCTTATAGAGGCCTATCGCGACGAGTCCTACGATCCCAAGATACTCGAGGAGATGGGCGAGCTTGGTCTACTGGGCGCTACGATCGAGGGATATGATTGCGCTGGCGTGTCCTCTGTTGCTGGTGGTTTGATCACACGAGCTGTGGAGAGGGTGGACAGCGGCTACCGATCTGGAATGTCCGTTCAGTCTTCGCTGGTGATGGGTGGTATCTTTGAGCACGGTACTGCTGAGCAGAAGGAGAAGTTCCTCCCTCAGATGGCCAAGGGCAAGCTCCTCGGTGCCTTTGGCTTGACAGAACCTAACCACGGCAGTGATCCTGGAAGCATGGAGACAGTGGCAAAGCCTCATCCCACCAAGAAGGGCTACTATTCTCTGAGCGGTTCAAAGACATGGATCACAAACAGCCCTATCGCCGATGTCTTGTTGGTATGGGCAAAGTTGCAAGACACAGGTAAGATTCGAGGTTTCTTGGTGGAGCGCAAGGACTGCCCACCAGTAACTCTCGAGACACCAGCTATCAAGGACAAGAATGGTCTTCGAGCCTCGATCACTGGCATGATCCATCTTGACAACTGTCCTGTGCCAGATATCAACATGTTCCCCGACGTTGAAGGCCTAAGAGGCCCCTTCAGCTGCCTGAACAACGCTCGATACGGTATTGCCTTGGGCGTCATGGGTGCTCTTGAGGACTGCATCGCCCGTGCCCGAACATACGCCCTCGAGCGCAAGCAATTCAAAGGCAACCCCCTCGCCAAGTACCAACTCGTTCAGAAGAAGCTCGCCGACGCGACAACGGATGCCGCCTACGGCACACTCGCCGCCATTCAGGTTGGCCGTCTCAAGGACGAGGGTAAGGCCACGCCCGAGATGATCAGCATGGTGAAGCGACAGAACTGCGATACGGCTCTCAAAAACGCACGAGTCCTCCAGGAGATCTTTGGAGGCAATGCTGCGAGTGATGAGTACATGATTGGCCGACATGTGGCGAATCTCTATGTGACACAGACTTATGAGGGCCAGAGTGACATTCACAGTGAGTTTACCTGTATGACGGGCGTGATTATTGCTAACCATATTGCAGGTCTTATCTTGGGACGTGCTATTACTGGTATTCAGGCATTCGTGTAAACAAGGAGTGATTGGTCAGGAGGTGATATAAAAGAACCATTGAGGTGCATACCCGTGTTATAGATGCTTGGAAATCAAACATACGGTTTCCAGTGCAGGACATTAGCCAATCGTTTAATCTGGCTTAGATGGCCTTAAAACAGTACAGTAGCATGACTTTGACGAACAACAAAAGACAATTCACCAGAATAATATGCTAAGTGTTCTTAATCCAGGCTGAGTGGGTATCAAACACCAAGCATCTAAGTCCACGACTTGGGAGCATTATCAAAATGAACCCTCACCTTGAATCAGTGACGTCGTTGTCTCTAGGGACTGTCATTAAATTGGCCAGTGCGCAGTGGTCACAACTGTGTAGGACTGTGACTGCTAGAGAAGCCGTCGAGTTCCGCGTCCGCTTCCGGTCCCGGGGCCGGGCTCGGCAGCGTTAATTCAGGTACTGTATGCAACTGGATTCCTGCCGTCATTCCCGTGGCAATAATGTAGAGGGAGGCTAGCTCACGTTTGTATATATAATCAATACATGAATCATGAGTCAACGTGTGGTCAAGTACTATGAGGAAGCATCTGGAAGTTATGGCAAAGGCGAAAAGTTGAAAAGTCGATAGGTGCTCTAGGTACTCTCTCAAACTTTCCCCTGCTGGCCTCGACCGCCACCTGAGTAGTATTACTCACCGCTGCCAAATCTTGCGCTGAACCTGAGGTTGAATGCCTAATCGGAAGGGAGTACAGATTCGTGAATGCTGTATAATCTTATTGTCATGAGTAAATAAGCATCGAAATCCGGCGAAGAACTGTTAGTGAGGTGACTACCTTACGGTTCATGAAAGCCAAGCCAGGGGCGCTACGGGTGCCCTCCACTGTATCAGGGCCCAACGTAAAAATCTGTAGCCAGCTGTTAGTGCTCGGGTACCGCTAAACAGTGATTCGCCCTCAGTAGTGGCGGTGTCCCCCCCTTCTGGAGCGTCGCCCAGCTGTGGCCCAGTCACAGGCGATGGAGGGCCTAAAAAATCCTCCACTGACTTTTCGGGCTGCCACTCCCGTCTGGTCTCGTCTGGACGGGAGGTGCCAGCGCAGCCACTCTCCAGTCAGTCACTGACCCGGGCACGCACGCACACACGCATTCACTCACTCGCTTCCTTCCTTCCCTCCTGCTCCGCTTCTGGGCCTCTCTCTTTGCTGACCCTCCTTCCCCTTCTTCCCTACCCCCATTTGAACGAACCATCTTCCTCCAAATCCCGCCTCTCTCCTCTACTTTCTTCAGCCTCGACTGAATTTCTTTTCCGCTTACATACTCCGACTTTCCAAACAACTTTCTACTGCAAACATCCATCATAAAACAGTCTCTGTGCACTTTTTTCTATCTCGGACGATCTTTTCCATCGACCGTTATTGTGCGTCCTTTCCTTCGAATCCTTCTTCCTCCCCGACCGCTCGTCCTGTCCTGCAACCCTTCGACTAACATCTTTGTCCAACCTAGAACGACCGCGATACCTCGCAACAAACTCTTTAGATACCCCCTCTACACATCACAAAATGGCTCTTAAGCGCATTAACAAGGAGCTCACTGATCTCGGCCGGTAAGTTCACTCTCTTCACAGGTCTGAGGGGTCAACCAGAATGCCCAAAGACGTCAGGTGGGGGCACTTGGTAAGCGGGGTCCTCAGTGACGACCGGCGATGCCAAAGCCCTCGATGACTTCAAAACCTCATGGCTCTCTTCTCTTGATGAACTTGTGCTGACTTTTCTCGTGCAGAGATCCACCCTCTTCTTGCTCTGCCGGCCCTGTCGGCGAGGATTTGGTAGGCATCACCCCTCCCCCACATTGATAAGCACCTGGCTGTCAAAGGCGTCATGGCTGCCGCAAACCTCTTCCCAGGACGAACGAGAGATCATTTTTGAGCGTACGGCTAACGAATCTCAATAGTTCCATTGGCAAGCTACTATCATGGGACCTGTAAGTTGACTTCTCCTGTGCTTCTGGATGCGCTGCCTGCTGAGATGGCTCATGGGTGTGGCGAAGCCCTCAGCCGCACGCCGGTGCAGCCGCATCTGCATTCAACGAACAATCACAAGAACAAAGTGGCTGACCAGACCTCACAGAGTGACTCTCCATACTCCGGCGGTGTCTTCTTCCTGGCCATTCACTTCCCTACCGACTACCCTTTCAAGCCTCCCAAGGTCAACTTCACTACCCGCATCTACCACCCCAACATCAACTCCAATGGTAGCATCTGCCTGGATATTCTGCGTGACCAGTGGAGTCCTGCGTTGACCATCTCTAAAGGTGCGTTTGATATGAGAACCCTTTTGGCCTAGGCCTATTGCTTACGTATATACCAGTCCTTCTGTCCATCTGCTCGATGTTGACAGACCCCAACCCTGACGATCCTCTTGTGCCCGAGATTGCCCATGTCTACAAGACTGACCGACCCCGATACGAGGCCACAGCTAGGGAGTGGACTCGAAAGTATGCAATCTAGAGCGAATACCAGGACCGGTGCGGTTAGACTCGGGGTGGTTTCATCTCCCCTATCATGAAGCGACGTGAAACGAACGAGTGAAAGCTTCGTATGCTGTTGCGAAATGTCTTTTAGTCGGCGATACCTATATGGGGCTTTGCCTGAACCAGGGCTTTGATTGCGATTATTAGGCAATGAGCGACGATACGAAGCGACCTGAGGGGAGGAACAACTCCAGACAAACAGACTAGTCTAGGCAGGGATATCATGCGGCTGGATGTTGGGTTTGCATTGACGATGTGCTTTTGGCATCCAGAAACAAGCAGCGTATACAATTTGTCTCTCTATTTGCTATATCTTCGGTGTTTTTGTTGTGTTGATTCTGAATCTCGGTGACATTGTGAAGTTTGATTTGAAGACTCGAAAGTAATGGCCCAATGGGTGTTGATGAAGCGCCAGCTTATGGCGATCCGCACACAAAGGATACGTCATGGTGAAAGCTGGCGGCTACTTATGCTGAGATGAGTGTGATTAGGCGCCAACAGGGTTGAGGCTGGTTGGCACGACTGGTAATATGACGGGCGCTAGTGGTCAGGAACTCGGGGCTCATCGACCACAGATCGGGATGGAGATCACAAGGGAGATTTACAGTTGGCCCGGAGCGTTTCTATAGGCGATGTGAAGAAATCCATGTGGAAGTTGTGCAGGAAATGCCAAACCGAAGGCACATGAGATTGGTTCGTCAGATAGGTAGTTGGAGTTTGTATGAGAAATACGAGCTGTTCACATAGGCCATGGTGATGACGAATGTGTTTGGAGATGGTACATGTCTTGGAAGAGAAGTGAAACGCGGCAGAGACGAAGCTGGAACGATGTGATATAGGGCAGAGATTTGATATATTCCGTTGTTTCTGAGATATGAGTGGGGGTTGGTTGTTTAAGAGCGGCTCTTGGACTATGGAGCAGTGTTTGGGATCGAGTATAGAGGAAAGTTAAAGAGTTGCTCTGTTATAGCTATTGATATACGCACGCTGTACGGAGTATTGGATGTCCTATTATATGAAAAGGGATAGAGATAATGCCAAGTTGTCATAACCAAACAATTAATTGCTTGTGCATTCAAGGGTCATGTCATTATGTGGGATAGATAATGATAGAGCTACAGGGGATTGATAAGACAACCAAGCACCACTGACCAAGTCATATAGAATATTCATTCATTAATATCATCTCGATGGCATTACAATCGCCAGTTGAATAATGAAGCTGCTGCTCTGTATCGTGGGAATAGTTGAGGTGCCTCAATGGTCATGCCATTCATGGGTCGAGAATTAGAGTCTTTTGCCCCACTCTCGGTGCGACATGCCAGGGAGGGCCAAGTCTTTGTCAAACCTGTAACACCGGGGTTTCAGACGAGAACAAGCGTTGAGGATGGCCAATCACAGACTACCGTTGCTGAGTTGACAGTGAACGACTGGTGCTGGTTTCTGCTAGAGATGCAGACGGAGAGTTACTTGTTGAACAGTATTTCACTCGAGAGGCTCTCAAAGTTCCAATAACTAGCAGAAACTCAAAGAATAACTTGGTAACTACCATTACTCAGATAGAGCCAGCGGTAAAAGTTCATGACGACTACAGCCCCTGAGGCAGAGTCTGATCGGTTGAACCATGCCTGATACATAACAACTCCTTAAATGGCGTGTTGTCCAAACCCACGTCTCGCTCTCCCACATCTCGACTCGAGTCTGTATGAATCTACCCTCTACAGCCTCTCGCTAGAATCTTTAGGTGCATGCCAAGCGCTAACCCCGGACACTCGCCGTCTGTGCCTGGTATCAAGTCCGGTCGCCAAACTCCGTTTTTATTTCTCTACAAGAGAGACCACGCAAATAAAATCATCTCATTCATGTTTTAGGGCCCCTCGAGTTTCGACGGCTTGAATTTCCCTTTTTTCTCTTCTGCTTTTTTAGACCCTTGCTTGCCCTGCCTCCTCCCATCTTCTCTCCCTTATTCACTCTCTTGTTTTTTTCTGTCGACAAGTCATGGTTCGATGAGAAGTTGTGTTTCTTTTAATCTTGAGGCTCTAGAAAGCATTTATTCTTCTTCTTGTCTATATTATACTATTTAAACTGTTTCATTTGGCTACGGAAATTCTACTGTTCAGCTGGTTCTGAATAATCGACACTATCGTTCAAGGCGGTTATTGATTGGGTTTCGAGGAACGAGGAGCGACAATACGACGACCAACACCTATCGAAGGAAAAATCGGACAATTTTCAGTCGGTTGACCCGACCGACTCAGCTCACCCTCGCTCAAGATGAGCTATCAGATGCAGGATTGGGGAGAGAAACCCTCAGAGCGATCACGATGGACTCCCCTAACGCGAATGCTGCTATCGGGTGAGATGACCCAAGAGAAGCAACAGGAACTATCGTCAAGAGAAAAGTTTGATCGCTGGATGATCAACGAGGGTTATCGAAGATTGTGAGTTGGTTCACTGGCACGTTACAGTGAAGTGAGTGATTCAGACTAACATAGTGCAGCTTCGTCTTTGTCTTTATGCTTCTTCACGCACTCATCTTCTCCTTCGCATGCGTCCACTACTCTCAAAAAGAGAGTCTCAAGTCCTCCAATGAACTCTTCGGCTTCACCTTCGTCATAGCTCGTTCGGCCGCTCTGGTTCTTCATGTCGACGTCGCCATCATTCTCTTCCCCGTCTCTCGAACCCTCATCTCGCTCCTTCGACAGACGCCTCTCAATGGAATCCTCCAGTTCGACAAGAACATCACCTTCCACATCGTCACCGCATGGTCCATTGTTTTCTGGTCTTGGGTCCATACCATTGCCCACTGGAATAACTTTGCGCAGGTCGCCATCAAGTACAAGCTTGGTATCTACGGCTGGTTGGTTGCCAATTTTGTGTCTGGACCTGGTTGGACTGGCTATGTTATGCTTATTGCGCTGATGGGCATGGTTCTCACATCGACCGAGAAGCCTCGACGAGCAAACTTTGAGCGCTTCTGGTATACTCACCACATGTTCATCGTTTTCTTCTTCTTCTGGTCTATCCACGGAGCTTTCTGCATGATTCAGCCAGATGTTGCGCCGTTCTGCACTAGTGTTGGCGCATCGGCCGTTGGAGTCTTTTGGCAATACTGGATGTACAGCGGTTTCATTTACCTGGCTGAGCGTATCGCACGCGAGGTGCGAGGTCGTCACAGGACATACATCACAAAGGTCATTCAACATCCCAGCAATGTTTGCGAGATCCAGATGAAGAAGGAGCACACAAAGACGCGAGCTGGACAGTACATATTCTTGTGCTGCCCTGCCGTCTCGCTGTGGCAGTACCATCCTTTCACTTTGACCAGTGCTCCTGAGGAGGACTACATCTCGGTCCACATTCGTTGCGTGGGTGACTTCACCAAGGAGCTTTCCAAGGCTTTGGGTTGTGACTGGAGCAAGAAGAGGGAGCCCGGCGGCAACGATTCCAGCAAAGTCGTTGGTCTGACTGGACGCGACTCCGAGATCGATCCAGCTATCCGCCGTGTTCTCCCCAGAGTCTACGTCGACGGTCCTTTTGGTTCTGCCTCCGAAGATGTCTTCAAGTACGAAGTCTCGGTGCTTGTTGGTGCAGGTATCGGTGTTACACCGTTCGCCTCCATCCTCAAGTCCATCTGGTACCGAATGAACTATCCTCAGAAGAAGACTCGCCTAGCCAAGGTATACTTCTTCTGGATTTGCCGTGACTTTGACTCCTTCGAGTGGTTCCGCTCGCTGCTTCTGGCGGTCGAAGCGCAGGATCTGGACCACCGTATTGAGATTCACACGTACCTCACAGCCAAGATCAAGGCCGACGATGCGACAAACATTATGATCAACGATGCCAACGCCGACAAGGACACCATCACTGGTCTGCGCAGCCCGACAAACTTTGGCAGACCCAACTGGGATATGATCTTTAGAGGTATCAGGAAGCTGCACAGTCCTGCTGAGGCGGGTGTGTTCTTCTGTGGACCCAAGGGGTTGGGAAGTTCGCTGCATACGTATTGTAACAAGTACACCGAGCCTGGGTAAGTTTCTATACTGTTATTGATATGTGAGAGTAGAACCTCGGCTAACTTGATGCAGATTCTCTTTTGTTTGGGGCAAGGAGAACTTCTAAACTTTGTCTATCAATTTCATTCAAGTCTAGGCAAGCGGATAGTCAAGTTTGTAATAGTAAAAGGAACACGACGCATGGGGTAGATTTACTGCAAGACCATCCATACCTGGTCTATGTTCTCATTGAGTTATCATTTTAAGAACGTAGAAACAGATGTTGCATCTCACCAACCAATACAATTTTTTTTTTTGGACAAGATCAGCCACATATTTCCTGTTCACTATTGATTAAGGACTGTATGTTATGGGGAGAGCAGTGCAAAGCTTGTGATAGAATCGAGGCGCAGCTGAAGAAACTGACCACTTGGAGTGCTGACGTTGGACTCTCACTCTCCATTCCATCCATGCCACATCTGACCCAGATCTCGTCTGAAACGTTTCACAAGCCTGGAAAGTATCCTATAGCCACAGCTGACTGTTTTGACTATAGAATCCTAAAGACGATTCTTACTCAGAGTTACGGGTATAACGGCAGATGAGAGTGATGCTCCCGCTCGATCTTGATCATCTCGGACAATGTCTGATTCACCGAAGATTTGAAAGCGTCAGTAATCAGAGAGGTAGAGACAACATGCCATGACCAAGAATTCCATGCAGGGTCTAGACGTGGGATGCAGAGTCGAAAATAACATTTTTAGACAACGACTGATATGTGCATGTCTCACCACCCAGCAACGTGTTCGAATACCAAGACCGGCCGAGTGGCTGGAGATATGATAGGATAGGGAGAGGGATGCACCGATATAGAGACGGGAAAGGCTTTTAAGATGCATGGTTGTATTTCATTATGGATGTTGTATGTATGTATCGTATGCATCCAATGTGTCCATGTGCAGTTGTGCTGATGGTCAGGCCG